GGGGGGGGGGGGGGGGTTACAGTGTAATAGACTACAATGTAATAGAGAAGAAAGATACAGATACTCTAGGTTTCCCAGCAGAGCAGAAATAAGGCATTTTATCAGTGCAACAATTTATAAAGTAAAAAAAAAAAAAAGCCACATGCAGAACACAGAAATTAAAGCCTTGAGGGAAAGTGTGTGCCTCTGGTCTGCAGTGGACTAGAGAAGCACCAACATCTCACCCAAATAACAAATCGTCACACTCTTTCCCCTGAGCGAGGACAGCGCGGCCAGGGTTGGTTGTAGCTCTCGACATAACGTCATTCAGCACAATAACACGGGATAACCCCACACGACCACGTGCGCGGTAGGAAAATCGGGTTTGACGTCATGTTCATATGAGGAACGCCGGGCAGGCCATATATGGTCGTTCCGCCTCTGACGTTGTTCCTTCTGTGGAACACAGGGTGGGTCCGCGGGGGCCCCGCCCCTCTCCCAGCTGTTATCAATGAACAAGTGAAACTCTCAAACTAAAGCTGATTTTAACTGACACGGCGAGCAGTTCTCCAGATACACTTAAAGTAGATTTTAAAACCATCTCCAAAAGTACTTTAATTTTTTTTTTTAACTTCAATAACACTTTGCAGCCATGACGTCTAGCAGTGAGCCTTTGGAGATAACTGGCAATGAGCTGGTTCACATACTCAGGACCCCCCGGGACCAGTACACCTCTGGTGGGTGTGTGGTTCTGGACTGCAGGCCTTTCCTCGATTTTTCTTTTGCGCATCTTTTAGAGTCCCGAAACGTCAACTGGAACTCAATGCTGCGCCGCAGGTCCAAGAGCTCGGTGGTGGCTCTGGAGTGGCTCATCGGGGACAAGGCGCTCCTGGGTCGGCTGCGGCGCGGGGAGTTCTCCCCGGTGGTGGTGGTGGATGAGAGCAGCAGCTCCGTGGCCGAGCTGAAGGCAGAGAGCGTGGCCCAGATGCTGCTCACCGCCCTGCACAACGAAGTTCAGACGCAGATCTGCTTTCTACAAGGTAATAAAAGTGAACACGTTTATTATTTTAGGCTGAAATTGAGTTTTTGACTTTGCAAGAACCAAAACAAAAATGAGCTACTAATTCGTACTAGAAATAACTATTATATTAACTAAAATATGTTTAAATATATATATAACTTGTTTCTAAATGTAAAAATCTCCACAATCAACCCTAAAGGATAAACAAACTTATTAAAAAAAAGAAGTGTATAGACAGGTTTTCTTTTTTAATGTTTACCACATCATTATTATTGTTCCACACAAAACATTTTAAGCAGGACTTCAGTGAAAGCTTGCGGCTTAACTAATACTGTGACCTCCATTTAGGTGGATTTGAGGGATTTTCAGAGGCCTATCCAGAGCTCTGTTTCAGCTCTGCCAGCAGTCACCTCTCTACAGTGGAACCAGAGCCAATAGTGACGGGTCGTAGCACACCAGCATATGATCAGGTAAGATCAAATTCACTTGTATAAGAGTTAATAGATCATACATAATGTAATATGATGTAAAATGGAAGAGTTTGTATCCAACCTCTCCCTAAGTAATGGAAACATATATGACTCCATAGTGATTATTGTTGGTTTTGTTAATTGCAGGATGGTCCAGTGGAGCTGCTCCCCTTCCTGTTTCTGGGCAGTGCCATCCACTCCTCCCGCAGAGAGACCCTCACAGCAGCGGGCATCACAGCTGTGCTCAACGTTTCCTCTACGTGCCCCAACTTCTATGAGGGGGAGTTTCAGTACCTGCGCCTCACTGTGGAGGACAGCCTAGCTGCTGACATCAGAGCCTGCTTCTCCACCGCCATCGCCTTCATCGGTGAGTCTCTCATCCAGACATCCATAGCTCCCAACCTGTGTACAGTGGCAGCCTGAGAGCAAAGTTCATGTGCTCACTGTAAGTTAGTAAACACACAGGGATTTAGTCTCGTCTTGGTTAAGTAAGCCAATGATTTACACTCTTGAAGAAATCGAAAGTACCCAAAAAATGTCTCTAAGCAGCTTGTACGCGATAATCCATTTTGTGTTGTAGACTTATGAACCAACGGAGTAATCGTCTCATTACAAAACAGCTGCATTATGCTGCACGAGCTGCAGAACAGAACATTTAAATTAGTTATTTTGCTTGTTTTGACCCCTTTTTTACCTTGAAAAGTTCATCACTTATAGGAACTAACTGTGATTGAATTTCCATTAGCATGGTGAATAGATTGTTCCTCCAGTCAAACAGTTTAAAGCTTCCTTTGTATTGCTGCTTGTAAAGCGCTCTCAGTGATGTCAAAGAAACTCATGTGCAATGGAGTGCAATATGCTGATCTCTCTTCCTCTTTCCGTCTTGTCTTTTCCGTTCCGCCTACAGACTCGGTGAAGCAGAGTGGTGGTCGGGTGCTGGTGCATTGCCAGGCAGGTATCTCTCGCTCTGCCACCATCTGTCTGGCCTACCTGATGCACACGCAGCGCGTCAAGCTGGATGAGGCCTTTGACTTTGTGAAGCAGCGGCGTCAGGTCATCTCCCCCAACCTGGCCTTCATGGGACAGCTGCTGCAGTTTGAGACCGACGTTCTCTGTCAGGGTTGAAGGTGCAGACGCATTAAGAGGAAGGAAGCTCATACGACTCTACGAAATGTATTAATTCCCTTGCTTCTTGTAGGCACTGTGCTGGACATTATCTGGACTCAGAGTGTTTGTACAAATATACTGTTTGTGCTATTGAAGCTAGTACATTTCAGAGGCGTATACTTTGTACGTTCAGGAAAAAAGCTACTTGTGCTGCTGGCATCACATAGCTGGGGGATCTCCTATTTTCAGGAGAAACTGACAACAAACCGCCGTTGGCATTATATAACTCCACTGTTATAACTACATTATGAACAATTGTGATTCTGAGCCAGCACGTTGGAGCAGCTACGAGGTCATTTCCCTGACATTTCATGCTTAAGGGGAATCGTGCCTGCTCGTCTGGTTTTGTGTGTTTCTGTGTTATTTTGTTTGACTTATGTGCCTGATCTTTTGCAAGGGCTGTCTTATTTTCATAGTGAAAGTCATTCCTGCCCAGTTACGACCACTGTGACCCGACACGTCTTTTTATGAGACATCACTGTGTAAACTATTTAAGGCAATACTGAATGAATCTCACGTTTCATTGTCTAATTTATAAAACTACAGTTGGTGTCTAATCATAAGTCTAATCATTCTGTATCGTGAGACATATTACATGTTGTACACTCAAACTGGAAGAAGTTGTTTTTATTATGTAAATAGAGTTTTTATTTTTATTTATTATTTGAACATTTAAGACGGTGTTTGCATTATTACTGTCTGTTACTGCACTTTATACTTACAAGGTTTGGCCTGCTGTTTTTCCCACTAAAATAAAAACATGCTGGAGAGAACAATGAGTCTGTTTACTCTGTATAATGTCCTTTTTTCATTCATACTGTTTACATTTCAAGGCTTATATCCAGAAAGATATAGTTAATCATTTTTATTTTTATAGCATCTTTAAAAAACAAAGTTACAAAGTGCTTTATAATAAAGCAATGAGCTCCAGAATTTACAATACAAACAAGATTAAATAGATTACAGTAAATACCATGGGTTAAGAAAAAGCCAAACAATAAAATGGAGTCTGCAGAAGAGATTTAAAAGAGGATGCTGAGTTTGCCTTCCACAGCTGAGAGGACAGCAAAAGTCAGGTCACCTTTGATCCCTGCTAGAGGATTTCGAGCAGCGATCAAGCTTGTAGGAGTTTAGTGAATCATCTATATAGTCCGGCTCCAGCTCTCCAGACAGGTGCAGTAATCTCAGACCAGTCAGCCCTGAGTGTGTTGCAGTCTTTTCACAGAACACATTACAAATGCATTTTCACACACTGACCTTGCTGCACTCCATTCGCTCTCGCTAAACCAGATGGTATTAAACCCACGTTCTGCTGAGTATTTTGGAGGATTATCCGCAGAGAATGGGTTTTACAGTATGAAGTCCCTCTGACCTCATCAACCACTGACATAAATTTCACATCCACTTCTTCAAGTTGTGAGAAAAACTTTGGACATTTGTTACAAAGACTTTTTTTTTAAAACAATGAAAGTATATTTGCAAAAGAGTTTTAAAATGTATTTTTAATGAGGAAGTGAGGAAAGTCCATATCACTAATTGTGTTATATTTCTGAAACTTTGATCCAATGACAACTGAAGAACTATTAACATTTAACTCCATAAACACCAATTATACATTAACGTTACATACTGCATATTTCTTTACTGATCTACTGTTTTTTACACTGACCGTTGTGATCAACTGTTTGTCAGATAAACCATAGGTCACAAGAATATCAGACACAGTTCATGTACCTCGTTTTATCTTGGATAAAGGTCTCCTCTCCATGAATTCCCTCCCAATCCTCAGCCATTCATTGTATTTTTAAAGTTGAACTGTTATCAAATAATGTCAAATAGGCATAAATGATTAACAACTACCACTAATAATGGACCAGCTCCCACCACTTCCTCGCCCCTGATGCTAATTATGCCACCCACAGTCTTGTTTCGGCCATAACTAAAATAGTCCACTTCCTCTCATTTGTAAGTATCCACTGCCTAGCATTTACGTAAGCACGCTATTACGCTTGACTTCTTCCTTCCATGAGCCACAGTTTTCCAGGTAGAGGACAGAGAAATGCACCTCGGAGCTTTCAGGTTTTGATTAAGACTGGGAGCTCACTCAACTGAAACTGAAAAATAACACTTGTTCTTCTTTCTGTTTATTTAGACTTTCATAGTCACTTTCAATTCACATTACTTGAAGTATAACAGTAACTGTAGCCTTTAGCCTCTTTAGTCACCCTTTTAGGTTCCATTTCCACCATAGTTTCTCCTACACACAGCCGGTTCTCAATCACAGGTTGTCAAATGCAGATGCGAGTGGTGTTCAGGTAATCTGCCACTTCACAGCTAGATGCCACTAAATCCTACACACTGGTCCTTTAAGGGAGATATATAGCCTAACTGATGGGTTGTTTTAGTGCATATCATTACTGTAGACTGTACAGGTGGTCAGTGTTTGAAAGAACATTTACTTAAAAACAATTTTGAGGTATTTTTACCTGAATATACTTTATATATATATTATACTCCATTAATGTGATAGCTATACTTACCAGTTACTTTTCAGATTAAGATTTTACATATACAGATGTATGATAACCCTATAAAATACAATACAATGTTAATCCCCATATTTTATTTATCTCATTTGTCATATTAACCTACACACGACTAAAAACTGAACTGAATTAATGATCAAACCTGTGGTTTCCAACCTTTCTGGCTTGTGACCACTTTATTAAAAAGCTCTATTTGGGGACTTTATCACATTTCAGATATCTTTGAGGTGTTAGCAGTCCACCAAAGAGACATTTCTCCTCTAAATTGTGTGGTTTCATTGAAATAACTGTTAGAGCCCAAAAGCAAAAGATTAGATAAGATTAGATAAGATAAGATAAGATAAGATATTCCTTTAATAGTCCCACAATGGGGAAATTTCA